GGGGATGGGGAAGTGGGTGTGCCGTACTGGAATAAAGGGGTCGGGGCGGAGGGGTGCGCCGTGCCGAAATTAAAGGGGTCCGGGCGGAGGGGCGTGCTGGCTGGTGGGTGGGGGGATGCGGAGGGGGTGTGCCGTGCCGAAATAAAAGGGGTCGGGGCGGAGGGGGCGTTTGGCTGGTGGGTGGGGGGGATATGTGGGTGGAGGCGGGTGCCGTTGCCGAAATACAAAGGGGTCGGGGCGGAGGGGTGTGCCGTGCCGACATAGAGTGGTCGGGGCGGAGGGGCGCGCTGGCTGGTGGGCGGGGGGGGCGGAGGTGTGTGCTGTGCCGAAATACAAATGGGTCGGGGCGGAGGGGTGTGCCGTGCCGAAATAATGGGGTCGGGGCGGAGGGGCGCGTTGGCTGGTGGGTGGGAGCATGCGGAGGGGGTGTGCCGTGCCGAAATACAAAGGGGTCGGGGCGGAGGGGCGTGCTGTGCTGAAATAATGGAGTCAGGGCGGAGGGGCGCGCTGGCTGGTGGGGGGGGATGCGGAGGGTGTGTGCTGTGACGAAATAAAAGGGTCGGGGCGGAGGGGTGTGCCGTGCCGAAATAGAGTGGTCTGGGCGGAGGGGCGGATGCGGAGGAGGTGTTGAGGGGGATGCGGAGGAGGTGTTGAGGGGGAATGCCGTGCCGAAATACAAGGGTTGGGGCGGAGGTTCGCGCCGTACCGAAGTGAAAGGGGTCGGAGCGGAGGGGCGCGCTGGCTGGCGGAATATGCGGGCGATGGAGGGGGTGCCGTGCCGAAATAAAGTGGTCGGAGCTCTAGACACCCTGTGCAAGAGAATGAACAGATAACGTCGAGCTCCAGGTTCACCTCCCGCATCTCGCTCAGCAGCGCCAGGGCCCGCTGCCACTGCTCACCCTTCTCGCAAGCGCTGATCCCAGCGTTGTAGCTGACTAGGGCTGGCCCGTGGATTCCGTCCACGACATCTTTCTGGAATGGTTCTCGGAGGAACGGCGGAGATTTTGCCGAAAACCTATAAGCACGGCGGCGGCCGTGACGGCGGCAGCGAGACCGCGCCTTCGTGTCCGAGCTCTAGCAGCGCTCCGACAGCTGGGCCGTCGCGGGGCCGTCGTCGTCGCCGTCATCGTCGGAGTTGTTGTTGTCGCCGCCGCGAGGCCGCCGTCGTACCCGTCGTAGACGGCGTCGTTGTCGTGGTGGTGGTTGTCGTCGTCGTCGTGGGTTGTGGGCACCTGAAGGAGGCTGGCGAAGTCGGTAGGACTGACCCGGGGACTCCGTCCAAGAGGCCCCCAGGAAGGCTGCAGGAGCGAGACACGTCAGGGCCCCAAGAGGCCCGGGAGAGGGCTCGTGACCGACCAGAAATAAGATGGATTTTGGGCCAAATCCGGCAGGGAGCGCCGAGCAAGCGTCAAGAGGGCCGAAGAGCCCCATGCAGAGCTGTCGGAATCGTGGCCCGGGCCCTCCCCCACTGTCGAAGCGCACCAGTGTTGCCTGCTGCGTCCAGCCGTGGCGGCGAGGAGCCCTCCTGAAGGCGAACTGTCTGTGTCTGAACTCGGCCTCCGCCGATTTCGTCTGGCCCGAGCCTGGGCAAAGGCTGGCATCCTCTCTGCGTCCATCGCCTGGGCCGCCTCTCGGAAGCACGCTCAAATCCTGTGCCACCCAAACACCTCGCGGCGCTGCGCCGCGCGAGGCTCGGTAACCTTCGCGCCCTTGTGCCCGCACCCTCGGAGACGGGCAGCGCTCCATATGCAGCCACGAGCCGTGTGAGGGGTGCGCCGAGCTGAAGGGTAGAACCGCTGCGTGTCCTTCTCTGACACAATATTGGTTTCTCCTCCACCCTCCATCTCCAGAGAAACGAAACCCAGAACCCCACAGTAAGCGCCGAAGCGCAGGTTTGCGAAAGACGTCTCGCCAGAACCCTGGAGCCCACCTGGGACCTCGCAGAATAAACCTCGAGCGTGGTGTTTATTTTCCGTCGACGTGGCGGGCCGAGGGATGGTGTTGGGGAGCATTTTCTCGGCCGACCGCGGGACCCTGGAGAATGGCCTTCGAGGTTACGGAGTCTCTTTCGTGGGCGTCGTTGGTCCACGAACGATCCGGGCGAGACGTCTGTGCCCCATTTGGAGCCTGGTAGGAAACCTTCAGAGTTGGTACTGGCATTCTGTGGACGTGGCGAGTCGACGAACGTCAAGGGCGAGGGTTAAGTGCTCCGCCCCAGGGCGTCGCGGAAAACAAACCTCCAAGTCTGGGTTTATTTTCCGTGGGTGTGGCCGCGCCCCGGGTCATGCATTGGAAGGGTAGAGACGGAACACCGCAGAAACAAAACCCGGAACTCCAGAGTAAGCGCCAAAGCGCAGGCTGACGAAAGACGTCTCTCCAGAACCCTGGAGCCCACCTGGGACCTCGCAGAATAAACCTCGAGCGTGGTGTTTATTTTCCGTCGACGTGGCGGGCCGAGGAGTGGTCTTGGGGTGCTTTTGGGGGGCCGACCGCGGAACCATGGACCATGGAGAATGGCCTCGAGGTTACGGAGTATTTTTCGTGGGCGTCGTTGATCCACGAACGATCCAGGCGAGACGTCTGCGCCCCATCTGGAGCCTGGGGGGGAACCTTCAGAGTTGGTACTGGCATTCCGTGGACGTGGCGAGTCGACGAACGTCCTGGGCGAGGGTTGATTGCTCCGCCCCAGGGCGTCAGAAAATAAACCTCGAAATCGGGGTTTATTTTCCGTGGGTGTGGCCGCGCCCCGGTGCTTCTGTTCCGCCTTGTAAGAACCTCTTGGGGCCCTGTTGGGCCGTCTGGCGACCTCCTGGGAGCCTCTTGGGGTCCTCTTGGGCCGTCTTGGGTGCGCCTGGGCCGTCTTGGGGCCGTCTGGGACCGTCTTGGGCGGCTCCGGGGCTGTCCCGCCATGGGGCTCTCTTGGGTCGTCTTTGGCCCCGCTTAGGCCTGTCATGGGAGCCTCTTGGGTCGTCATGGGCGCCTCAGGAGCCGTCCTGGGACCGCCTTGGGCCGTCTTGGGGCCCTCCCGGGGGCCTCCTGGGCCCTATTATGACGATCTTGGGAGGCAGTATTGTCGTCTTGGGCGCTTTGAAAGACGAAAAGCACGGGAATTGCCAAAATGAACGTTTTCCTTGAGGATGGAAAGGATTTTTCCTCGTTAGGGCTCTCTCGGGGCTCTTCTTGGAGCCCACTTGGAGCAATTTGAGCGCCTCTTGGGCCGTCTGGAGGCTATCTTGGGCGTCTTCGAGCGCTCTTGGACCATCTCGGAGGCCCTCTTGTACCGTTTCGGGGCGTCTTGGGGTCCTCTCGGGGAGATCCGCTACAGGGTCTCGGAGCGCTCTTGGGCCTTCCTGGAAGCACGCCAAGCCAGCTGGGGCTCGCGGGGGCCCGCAGGGCCCGAAGGGGTCGCCGGAGGAATGTGTCCGACCCCCGCCCTTCTCGCACGCGCGGGGCCCTGCAATGTAGTAGAGACTAGGGCTGAACCGTGGACTCCATCCACAACATCTTTCTGGAATGGTTCTCGGTGGAACGGCGGAGATTTGCCAGAAACCTATAAGCACGGCAGCGGCCGGAGCGGCAGCAGCGAGAACGCGCCTTGGTGTCCGAGCTCTTGCAGCACTCCAGCAGCTGGGCCCTGGCGCCCGGCTCGCTCGCCCCCCTCCTAGTGGGGGCAGTTTTGAAGTCTCTCGGGGAGGTGCGTCAAAGTCGAAGCCCATCTGAGGCGTCTCAGGAGCGCCCGGGGAAGGACTCGGGAGGCCCTCGGGGAAAGCCACCAGGAGCGCAGGGGAGGCTCGCAAGGATCTCCAGGGAGGGCCCATGAGAGCTTGAAGAGGGTGTGAAGCTCAATTGGACCTTAGCAGAAACCGCTGTTGGGTCGGACGCGCTTCGCTACGTTGGGGAGGCCGTTTTGTTGGAGTTCTGTGGAAGGCGAAGCTCTCTCGGGCGTGTCAGGAGCGCCTGGCCCGCAGATTCGAAGCCTCCTTGGGCCTCTGCGGGGGCTGAGGACCTCTCTGATCCTCTTGTAGGCCTCTTCGGGACCTTTAGGGACCCTCTTGGGCCGTCTGGGCTCCTCTTGGGCCATCTTGGGGCGACGTTCAGGGCTCCGCACGTCATCTGGACCCTCATCAGGCTCTCTTCTGGGCCTTCTCGCGTTTCCTCATCATCATCAACATCATCATCATCATCATCATCATCATCATCATCATCATCATCATCATCATCATCATCATCATCATCATCATCATCGTCATCATCATCATCATCATCATCATCATCATCATCAGCATCATCATCATCAGCATCATCATCATCAGCACCATCATCATCATCCTCTTCCTCCTCCTCTTCCTCCTCCTCCTGCTGCTCCTCTTCCTCCTCCTCCTGCTGCTCCTCCTGCTCCACCTCCTCCTCCTCCTGCTCCTCCTCCTCCTCCTGCTCCTCCTGCTCCTCCTGCTCCTCCTGGTCCTCATACTCCTCATGCTCCTCTGCCTCCGCCTCCGCCTCCTCCTCCTCCCCCTCCTCCTCCTCCTCTTCCTCCTCCTCCTCCTTCTTGCCTCTATCCTGCATGCCCCGGATCTTGGATCGTCAATCGAAGGGAATGGGACGATGTTTGCGCCTCGGGGCTGTCCTGGGGAATCCTCGAGGGCAGTCTTCGGAGGCTCCTGGCCTGCCCTGGGGGCCCTTGGGGTCGTCGGAGCGGCCTCTTGAGCGGCTCGGAGCGCCCCTGGAACCGTCGGGGTGGCCCCTGGAGCAGCTCGGAGCCGTCTTGGGGTCGCGGGGGGCGCCCTCCAGAGCAGTTCGGAGCCGTCTGTGGGCCGTCGGGGCGGCCTCGTCTCGGAGCCGTCGTGGGGCCGTTGGGGCGCGCTCTTCAGCGGCTCGGAGCCGCCGGAAGCCACTCTGTCCAGAGACCCTTCTCGCACGCACTGTTCCCAGTATTGTAAGAGAGATAGGGCTGACCCGTTGACTACGTCCACGAAATCTACACGACCTGGCATGTGGTGATGGACATGCTGCCGAAAGGCTGGCATGATGACGTGGGGTTCGAACTTCGCAGTCCGCCCATGCTACTGCGTGCTGTTGCTTGCTGCCGCTGCTGCCGCTGCTGCCTGCTGCTGGTAATGCGTACCGCTGCTGCGTGTTGTTGTTGCTTGTAGCTGCAGAGAGCTGCTGATTGCCAGTTCTGTTTTGCGCGCGCTGCTGCCCGCTGCCTGCTGCTGCTGTCTGCTGTCGCTGTGCGCTCCCGCTGCTGCTGCCAGCTTCGCGCTGCTGCCGTTCGCTGATGTTTCCTGATGCTGCAGGGTGATGCTCCTCGCTACTTCAACGTTCTGGCGCAACCTGCTATCCAGAGAGGATCGAACAGCGAGAAGTTCTCGGGCTCCTGTGCCGTCTTCCTGCACTGTGGGGCCTTTTATGGCATCTGGAGGGATTCTTGGAAGCCAGCTGGCAGTTTCTGAGATCATCCTGGATCGGAATGTCAGTTCGAGTTCCCCCTCGTGATGCCCTCTTGGCCGTCTTGGGCCGTCTTGGGGGCTTCTTGGGCCGTCTTCGGGCCCTCTTGGGCTGTCTGGGGGGCCTCTTGGGCCATCGTGGCGCGATCTTGGGGGTCGAGACTCCGAAAAGACGAGACCGCTGCATCTTGTCAAAAACCGATGGAGAAATCAATGATTTTGGCCTCAAGGGGCCCGTCTTGAGGGCTTCTTGGAGCCCCTCCTTGGCCGTCTTCTGGCACTGTGGCGCCTTCTGGGGCGTCTGGGGGGCCTCTTGCGGGCCAGCTGGCAATTTCTGAAATCATCCTGGAGCGGAGGGCGCGAAATGTCAGTTCGAGTTCCCCGTCGCGGGGCCCTCTTGGGGCCGCCTTGGAGGCCTCTTGGGCGATCTTGTGGCCCTCTTAGGCTGTCTGGGAGCTCTCTTGGAGGCCTGTTGGGCCATCTTGACG